AGTGTTTGGGGTTTTGGGGGGCTTTGGTTCAGTGTTTTGGTGATTAGAGTTCTGGGGTTTAGGGTTTCAGTGTTTTAGTGTTCAGAGTTTTGGGATTCTGGGGCGTAGGGGTTTCGGGTTTAGGGTTTCAGTTTTAGTGTGGGGTTCTGGTGCTTAGCCTTTGCGGGGTTGGGGTGTCAGTCTTAGTTCTTGGGGTCTTGGGGTTCCGCGGCGTGGTGGTTGGGGTGTAGGGTTTCAGCGTTTCAGTGCTTAGGGTTTCGGGGTTCTGGGGCATTTGGGTTTCGGGTTTGTTGGGGGAATTTTCGTGTTTAGGGCTTCGGGCCGCTCGGACAGTGTCATCCCTACATCGTTCGGTGATTTCGGGACAAGTAGGCTCCGTCAAACCCTAAACCCTAAATTAAATTCAACCCTAAACTCGAAAAAATGCCAGGCATTGTTAGGGAGACTTAGCACCTTGGGATCGAGCGGGACGCCTGCATCCCCCGTGAGTTTGTCCTCATCTGAGCGGCTTCGACTTCACAACCTCGGTCATCGGCACTCCTGCCGGGCACAACCGGGCTCTGTCGCCTGGTGAAGGTTTGCAGGAGGTCCAAGGTCGCCGGGAGCGGGACGCCAAAGTCATGTGCCTTCCTGTAGTGTTCGTGAAGCATTTGCTGCAGGGGTCCGATTCATGGCCCAGCTCGGTTTGTAACCCAGGCGCCAGGGCCCGCACATCCGCATGCCAGCGCGGCAGAGACCCAACGGCGTGGCAAGACAGATGCGTTGGACCATATGCTTGGCCGAGTGGATAAGAGATTCTTCTGGGTATATATCCCGAACAGTACCTCTGTGTCTTGCTGTCTTTTTTGGATATTAAAGTAGCTGCGAACTACCATTTTCTACTTGACAGTAAAGCGGCACCCTACGCAGATGTAGTCCGCGACTCAAACGAAAGACGTTCGTGCGAGGGGTTTGCTTTGGGGGGTCGCCTAAACCCTACACCCTAAACCTTAAACCCTACACCCAAACCCTATAAACCCTATAAACCTTAAATCCTACACCCAAACCCCAAACCCAAGCCCTAAACCCGACACCCAATCCCTAAACCCTTTTCCCGGCAGCAAGATGTCTTGCAGCCCCTGGGCCTGAGCCTAGGTGATGAGACTGTCTCAGGGGTTCAACTTTTTGCAGCTAAGCATGTTTTTTTTTGCGTGCTTCTGTTATGTAAGGTTGGGTTTGGGTTTAGGGCTTATAGGGTTTAGACGTATTTGTGTGGTACATGCCTGTAGGTATGCATGTGCATATTGTATTGTCTGTGCTGTATGGTACTACAAAATGCAATGTAGCATAGCATACTGTAGGCTATTGTGACTTAATGCAACGTAGCGTCATGTACAGCCGTTCAATGCAACGGATGCTTGTATGCATGTACACACACAGGCACATGAATATGCATGTGTGTCTGTATGTATGTTCATGCATGTATGTATGCATGTCTCTATGTAGGTATGCATTTCTGCGCACATCCCGAAGGGGTGGTTGTATCAACTTCTATATCTATGCAACAGATCCCGTGCACCCTATGCATAGACCCTGACTTTGAGCGCATGTTCGCTGAACCCTGTCTATGATCAAGGTCGCAGAATCAGAGAGCAGGATGGCGAAATAAGAAGTAACATCTACTTGGAGGTTCAAGGGTAGGTATAAGTGGGGCTTTGAGTTCAGTGAGTATATGATTATAACCCATATTGGGGACCTTGTTATGTTGTATATCTACCCATGAACCTCCAAGTGGGACTCTTGTGCAAGCTTTGCGAAAGATGCCAGGAGCAACACTGGTCGCAGCACTTCAAGACGCCAGGACCTCAGCGACCCTTTCAGATTCCCAGAGGGTCCAAGTACTCCCTATGGTAGGACTTTAGGGCCTTTTAGGTACCAAAAACCATAGATAAGGACTACTTGAATCCCTAAACCCTAAACCCTAAACCCTAAACCTTTAAGCCCCTGAGGCTTCAGGTTGAGGGTTTAGGAAGCTGGGACGCAGATTCAGAAGGCTGTGAGCCGAACCCGGAGATGAAACGTCGAGCTTCCACTCCGACTCCATAAATCCGAAAATGCCTAGTTTAGGGTTTAGGGTTTAGGGGTTTAGGGTTTAGGGTTTAGGGGTTTAGGGTTTAGGGTTTAGGGTTTAGGGTGGCCTAGACGCTACGCTAGGCTGAAGCCCTCAGCTGCTAAGCCCTGTACTGACCGGTGGCCGACAGCGGAGACTGAACCGGTTTCGATGGGGACTTCGGCATGCATCGAAACTGACTTTAGATCCATGATTGCTCAACCCGGAGCGAGTAAGAGTTGTTTGGCAAGTCTACGTTTCAGTCTTTCAGTCCAAACCGTACACCCTCCACCTTAAACCTCAACGCTCAATCAACCGCTTCAGAGGTCAAAGCCCCAAATGTGCCAAGAATAGGGTTTTGCACTACTAACTACGCCCCCCTCAATCCCAAACCCCCTAAACCCATCTAAACCCTAAAGCCTAAACCTTTGAACCACTAATCCAGAATCCAAAGAGGCTTGCCTCTCACCGAGAGAAGTTGGCCCGCGATGCCTCCCAGGTCCGGGGCTTTAGTTTAGGGTGTACGGGTTTAGGGTTAGTGGTTGGGGTTTAGGGGTTTAGGGGTATAGGGCTTTCAGGTTGTGATGAGGACTTAGGACACTAAGGCTCCAAATGACCCAAAAGCCTTATATGATATGGTCTTTAGGCCCAAAAGCCTTAAAATATGAGTCCTTAGAGCGTTAGGGGAAGGGTTGTACAAAAGGTTCGAGTCAGTGTTCCGGAAGGATTTTAGGGTTTATACAGGGTATTGTGAAACTCTACCCATAGGCCCCAAACTAATTGTTTTTTTGGGGTTCATATTTGGAACAATCCTATATGGTAATCCCAAAAAGGAACTACTATAGGGCCTATGGGTAGGGCTTCCTGCAGGGTTTTGGCGGATTTGAGACATGGAGGCTGCGCGTGCGTTGGGAGTTTGGGCGTAGATTGTGTTCGGGAGTTTTGGATTCAGGGCACGCTATAGGGAATGCTGGAGTGCCTGAGACGATATAGCATAGCCGCAGCAAATGTTTCCATACATACCCAACAGAAATGGCTATGGTTTTGTCGAGAACTGGCATAGTGACGGAGGCTCCAGAGCTGGAGACCTTGATCAGCTAAACCAGGGACCAAGCTTTCAACAGCTCCTTCATCTGACACTTGGGCTCAGCCTGATATGTGGGCCCGAATAACATCATTCCATATGTGGTATCTAGATGAAAGTGCAGAATAACATCCAGACTTTCAAGCACCAGTGTAATTATTGAGTCTCCTACGTTAACCCCGAAGCTTCGAGGAATCGGTTATACAGATCTGACGCCACAATGCAGTCTCGGAAAATGAATCACGCTATACCCCCAAAACCCCAGAACCCCTGAACAATAGCCTGATAAACCCCGTGCTCTGAAGCATTGCCAAGTGCTCAGCCTGAATGTAACACACACGCAGGCTAAACAAAAGCAACCCTGAATCTTAAAGCCCTAAACCCCAAATGGTAGCTTCCGAGAATAGAGGACCCTAATATAATACCCTAATCAGTAGGATCCTTCTTATACGGAGCCCAAAATAATTATATAAGGTTCCCCTAATTTTCGGAAACCCCCTAATCGTGAAACCGTGAAGCCGCCCCTGGAGCCTTAAGGCTCTGAAGTCCTAACCCTAACTCCACAGTTTAGGGTTTAGGGTTTAGGGGTTTATGGGTTTAGGGTTTAGGGTTTATGGGTTTAGGGTTTAGGGTTTATGGGTTTAGGGTTTATGGGTTTAGGGTTTAGGGTTCTGCCAATCCCAAGTCGCCAGGCGCACCGCTTGTGCAGAGAGACTGCAGACGAGGCCTCGTGGCCATAAGCTAACGTTTTTTGTGTTCACCGCCGTCTTTTCTGGATTGAACAGGTCCTACGGGCGTTATCGAGCTTTTGTGATGTGGGTTGCTAGTGTGGTTTCGCATGATTTCCTTTCTGCTAAACTGTTACAAGAGCACATGATAATCGTAGCCGTGACGATGCCATTCCCCTGCCGAATTTTCCCGAACTTCCGATCTTGGTTGTGTAAGCTGGGCAAAGCTGCGCAAACCATTTCGGCGATTCGCATGGAGCCCAATACCTTTTACCCAAAGGTATGCTCCGTTACTGTTTGGGGCCGCCTCTGACGCTTTATAGAAACTCTCCAAGGTTACTGTATCCGATGTTGCGCTGCCTGATTCGTAAATCCTTCACCCGACAACCCCAGCAGCATCGAGATTGTGATTCCAATGAGAGAACGTGAAACCTTTTTTGCCTTATATGTTAGGTCTTTCTCGTTTTTGATCTTTACTATTTTCAATTTGAACACTGTTGGCCCGGTTGTTGAAGAGGAGAGTATGTTGACCCCTAAACATCCGAAAGCCACAAACTGTATCCCAAACCGTGCAAGGGTTTGTATTACCGCTTTAGGCAGTACTCCCTAGGGGTCTGAATAGCTCCTAATCGTATCCCGCTGATCGTTCTGTTGCAATCATCAAAAAAACCAAAAGCCAAACCCTTGACCCCTAACCCCTGAACCACAAACCCCGAAAGCCATAAAACCCGTGACGACCTCAACTGGAACCCTATATGGGGATTTCCGAAAATAGGGGACCCGAATATAATGCCCCCAATAGTAGGATCCTTATTATAAGGACCCCAAATTAAGGTACCGCTAAATTTTCAGAAACTCGAAACCCCTATAGAACCCTTCAAAGGAAGCCTTATAGTACCCTAAAACTAACCCTTTAAAGAAACCCCTAAGGTACCCCCTACGGTTGATGATGTAAATCCTGCATTACCCATAATAAGGAATATACCATAATTCCCTAAACCCTGAACCCCTAAACCCTAAACCCCTAAACCCTTAAACCCCAAACCCTAAACCGCTAATTTTGGGAAACTCCCATAGTTTCCAGAGACGATGACGCGAGGTAGCCATGAAGGAGCTCGAGGAGCAAGATCTGAAGAAGAAGCACCAGGCGCAGGGTTAGGGTTTAGGGGTTAAGGTTTAGAGTTTAGGGCTTAGGGGTTTCGGGGTTTAGGGTTTAGGGGTTTAGGGTGTCTTGTGTTTTGTGTGTGTGTGTGTGTGTTTTTGTCTCGTGGTGCTGCTAGTTGCATTTGCCTTTGTTGTTGAGGGGTTTTAGGGATTAGGCCTTTGGCCTTTCAGAGTCTAGATTTAGGGAAAGGTCGCTTGTCAGGGTAGGTATGAAGGTGGGGTTGGAGTTGTTGCTTCAGCATGTGTTCTTCGTTACCAAAAGATAAGGATTGATACCGGTGTGTAGTGGAGCCCATCTATGTAGGCAACGTACTCAAGTTGACATGACCATGGAAAGCATATCTTTTCTACAAATCCCGATTGTGGGGGCTTGTTCGCGAACCCGGCAGGGTTAAGGGTATGGGGCTTTCGGATGACCTGCAACTTAACTTTGGACTTGGGTAGGGCCGGGAATAAATAAGATCCTCACCTGCATATTACATCTATTCTTCGGCAGCCGCCAAATGTCTCAGGAGATCAGTCAGAAGCAGAAGGAGTTCTGCACCATGTACGAGGCAAGGCCAAGCCTTTGAGGTTAAACGGTTAAACCTTGAACCATAATATAAGGGCCTGAATAATCACCAACCTTGTTCGTCAGGGTTCATCCATATAAGTAATATACCCCACACCCCCTTTTCGAATTATTATCGCCCCTTCATTATTGTCTTCCTTGTGTTTCCCAGTGACGACAAAGGAGACTTTCGCTAGAGGGGTGAGGGTTCTTCCGTCTTTTGGACTCGAAATCCATAGCTCGTAATCCCTCAAATCCCGCAAGCTCAACATATCCCAAGGCTTTCTAGGGACTCAACTGCCGTGACATGTTGGCAAGGTTGTGAAGAACGAACGCAACAAGTACATGCCGCGGGCTGAGCTTCAAGTTGCGCGGAGTCGTAAGGTCCAGACGGGTGGGTGTAGCGCACGAGTCCTGGGCTTATGGTGTCGGGAGTCTCCCTGCGACTAGACCCCATATCTCAGACCCGTCCTCTTAGGCAGGGAACTACTCCTCTCCCGAACCCGCATGCCCTTGGAATGTGGGAGCTTCAAAGCACAAGGGACACAACTTTAGTCTCCCAAACGATTAGATCTTGTTTCAGTATGAGTGTGACGTTCCTTCTCAGGGTCTTGAGAAAGAGTCACACCACAGTAGGGTACCGTATTTTTTTTGTCAATTTTTCTGGATTTTTTCTGTCTATTTTTCTGGTTTTCGGTTGAACGCAAACGAAAGAAAGAAGGAGAGAAACGGAAGCCAGAAAGAAAGAAAGGAGCTAAGAAACAAACAAAGAAAGCAAGAAAGGAAGACACCAGGAAGGGGAGAAAGAAAGAAAGGACGAAGGACAGAAAGACAGGAAGGAAGGAAAGAAGGACGACAGAAAGAAAAAATGAACGAAGACGGGAACAAAGGAAGAAGGCAAGAAAGCAACACACCAGAATGGGGAGAAAGAAAGAAAGGAAGGAAGGACAGAAGGACAGACAGAAGCAAGGAAATAAGAACGCAGCAAAGACCGAGAGACAGAACAGAAGAAATGAATATCGAAAGACAGAAAGCCAGCAAGGACGACCAGAAGGAGTGTTAGAAAGAACGGAGCAAAGAAAGAACCCAAGAACGAAAGCAGGATAATTAGACAGCAAGAAGCAAAGACCAGAGACCCCGCTGTTTTGAGCTGTGTGCAAGCTTGCTTGACAGCATAGACGTCGTTCTGGAAACCCACCCTGCATAAAATGTAAGTCTTCTTGAAACAATGCCATTCACCATGCAAAGAGTCTCTTTGCAAATGGAAAGCCTGCCCCGGGCGTGCGAGAGTGCCGAGCTTGCTTGACAGCATATATGCGTTTTGTTGAAAACCCCACCATGCGAGCATCCTCATGAACTGCCCCCCTTAAACCGCCCCGCCGCATAGTTTTTGTTGTAAACCAGACATGCGAGCATCGTGATTGCAAATGGGGGGGGCTGCGCCCCCCCCCAACCCCCCCGCTGTGTAAGCCGTGTGCCAGGTTGCATGACAGCATAGGAGTCGTGACAGCACATACGCATGTTTTTACCAACCACGCGAGCATCATCCTTGCAAATCGGGGGGGCTGCGCCCCCCCAACCCCCCCACTGCTTTAAACGATGTGCAAGCTCGCGTGACCGCAGCTTTGCTTGACAGCAGATATTCTTGTTTAAAACCAACCATGCGAGCATCTTGATTGCCGCCCTTAAACCCCCCCAGCCGCATGCGATTTGCGGTAAACCAGCCATACGAGGATCGTGATTGCAACTGGAAGGGGTTGCCCCCCCCCCAACCCCCCCGGCTGCTATAAGCCGTGATTGCATGACAGCATAGCAGTCGATGCCTAGGATATCCTAGCATGAATCTTTTACTTAGAAGCAGCACCCTTCACCTTGTGAAAAGTGTGTTTGCAATTGGGAAGCATGCGCCGGGCGTGCGAGAGTGGCATGCTTGCTTGACAGCACATACGCGTTTTTTGACCAACCATGCGAGCATCATGCTTGCTAATGGGGGAGGCCGCGAGCCGGAATTCCCCAATAGCTTGACGCAGGAAAACAAGCTCGAACACTGGAATCTCCCAGTAGCTTGACGCACAAGCAAACCCTGAACAAACTACACTCCCGCGACAGCTTGACGCACAAACAAACCCTGAAAACTAGAATCCCCCAATAGCTTGACGCACAAACGAACCCATATCCCGCCAAACCTTTTAAACATAACCTGGCCGCCAAACCTTAAAGAAAAAGACTCCACCCAGCAGCAACAACAACATGAACACCAAGAGCAGTAGCAACACCAGTAACAAATAACACCAAAAGGCATGCAACCACAACGAGAACAACAGGAAGAACAGCAACAACAACGACACCACCAGCAGCAAAATGCAACAACAGCACCAACACCAGCACCAGCACCAACACCACCACCAACAAGCACAACAACAACAACAACATCAACAACAACAACTACTACTACTACTACTACTACTACTACTATATTACTATTACTATTACTATTACTATTACTATTACTATTACTATTACTACTTACTATTACTATTACTATTACTATTACTATTACTATTACTATTACTATTACTATATACTACTATTACTATTACTATTACTATTACTATTACTATTACTATACTATTACTATTACTATTACTATTACTATTACTATTACTATTACTATTACTATTACTATTACTATTACTACTACTATACTATTACTATTACTATTACTATTACTATTACTATTACTATTACTATTACTATTACTATTACTATTACTATTATTACTATTACTATTACTATTACTATTACTATCCATATTCCTATTCCTATTCCTATTCCTATTCCTATTCCTATTCCTATTCCTATTCCTATTCCTATTCCTATTACTATTACTGCTGCTACTACGACTACTACAACTACTGCAACTACCACTACCACGACTACTACAACTACAACTACAACGACAACAACATCAACAACATCATCAACACCAGCAGTAACAACAACAACACCACGAAATCCGTACAAAATGCGACAATGCACGGAAAAGCCGATTTTCCCGAGGAACAACCAAGGTAACGTATGTTTTCCTGCTGAAAACCTAAGGAAACGACACGGAAGCCGTAGGAAAACAGTGTTTTCCCTACGAAAAACCAAGCAGGCGTCTCTCCACCCAGACCGCAACCGCAGAGTCTTAGAGATTCAATCCAGAAGCTTCGCGGATGCTATAAGCGCGCGGGGCAAAAAAGAAGTGTGAGAGACACTGCAGCATTGTGGCAGGAGCTTCTGACAGTCCAGCAGCTGCCGCGAGACGAGCGAAGAAGTTTGGGAAGAATTGAAACCGAAAAATCCACAAAAATCCAGAAAAAAATACGCAAGGAAGAATTCCAGTCAGAGGTGGAGAACGGTCACGGCCACCAGGCTAGATTCCGAAAACCAAGGAAAGCATAACTAAAACCAGGAAAATATACAAAAAAAACCAGAAAAATACACAAAAAAGAACTCCAGTCAGAGGTGGAGAACGGTCACGGCCACCAGGCTAGATTCAGAAAACCAAGGAAAACAGAACTAAAACCAGGAAAATATACAAAAAAAAGCCAGAAAAATAGACAAAATAAATACTCGCTCCCCACAGTACTACCAAAATAGAGTTTGCATTAGTATCCTTCATCTTCGGTTCTGTCGCCTCATGCGGTATTGCAGGATGTAATATAGGAGCCGCAATGACAGAATGACTAGAATATCGCTGTACAGGTTGATAGGGATGCGCCTCCACGCCGTGAGCCCGCGGTATCAAACAAGTGAGACCACATTTTCATGGGTCGAAGCATTGTAACTTATGTGTTGTGTAGGGTTAAACTGGATTTTACATCAGGCCCATAATGCCCATATTGACACGTCGGTTTTGGTAGTTGAAGGTACGATAAGCTCCCGGAACCCTAAACCTACTAGGCTCGCTGAACCACGCTTTGCAGCTCCAAATAGATACCACACGAACATTCGTAATTACCCTAAGGGTCCATGTGCCCACAGCCCACAAATTCTAGGAGAAATAACTGTGTCGCGAAAGTGCCGAAACAATGCCTAGTTTAGCGCCACAGTATCTACTAAATAGGCACATGGACCCCTAGGGTGAAAGCGCCCGGGAGTACTTCCTCCCAGCCTCTGCAGTTCTGTTGACGGGCTTGTTTGCTTGCTGAGGTTCTTCCTAAGATGTCTTCAGAGGGCTTCGGGGTTCGGGGTTTCGGCTCTCATAGGGCCCAAGGAGAAGCACGAGGATAATGTGGTCTCCTGATTATTAAACCCCCCCCCCCCCCCCCCCCCCCCCCCCCCCCCCAAACAAGTCCAGTCCCTGTAATATTAACGGGGGGTCCGCATATCTCTGACCTGAAGTTGTTTGGGGGGTCCGGGGTCGAAGTTGTTTGGGGGCCGGGGGTAGTACAGTAGTACAGTAGTACATTAGTACAGTAGTACAGTAGTAGTACAGTAGTACAGTAGTACAGAAGTCTGGCTGGCTGGCTATCTCTCTGTCCTTTATCTTGCCTGTTTCTGTCTCTCCTCTTCCAGGGCGTCAGTTTGTAGTAGGAGTGCTTCTCTACTTAAACCTTAAAAATTTTAGGACGGGACGGGTTTTAGGACTATTGAGGGGTCTTTATTATTGTGTGCGGGCCGAGTTTAGCTCTATTGAGGGGACCTTTTATTATTGTGTGCCGGGCCGAGTTTAGCTCTATTGAGGGGACCTTTAATAATCACGAGCTCACATTACTATGTTTTGACTCAGGTATCCAAAGCCCTGCAATCATCGGAAATTTAGCGTTCCCCACCAAAACGGAATCCTACAGTTATCTGGCTTAAGGTAGTCCCTTTTGGGGGTCCCGGTATTTTAGGTCCTTGCGGGAGTCTCGGTGTCTGTAAGCCCCCATCATAAGAGACCCTTAGAATCAAAAGGTAAGCATAGTGGCATCCCCATCCTTGTCAGCTTGTTATTCCGAGTCTGCAGAAGGTTCCCATCGTCCACGAGATCTCGCAACGCTAAACCCGAAACCCCTGGCCCTAAGCCCGAAACCCTGTGCTAAGCCACAAGCCAACAGCTCAAGGACCCACATCCAGAAGTCAGACCAACATCTTTCAGAGATGAAGGACGGTTCTTGTTTCGTGGGAGAGCCAGGTTGAATGGTTCTGCGCTGAACATGTTGATTTGTTGTATTTGTGTTCGTGGCTGTGGTGGCTGTTGCTGTTGATGTTGTTGTTGTGGTGGGGGTGTTGTGGTTGCGGTATCGGTTGCTGTTTCGGTTGTTGCTGTGGTTGTGTCTTGTCGTTTGGTTTGGGCATGTTGTGCGGGTGGGCTTGAGCTCTTGGACCAAACGGCCCAGGCCCTAAAGCTTGTCATCCTAATCTAGACAGGCCTCTACAGTAGAAGCCAAAAAGTTGGAAACCCAATAGCCTCAACCCTTATAAGAGTAATGTATAGGGAATCCCATCACTAGTTGGCCTTAATCCGGTTTCCAACTCTATGGGGTTTACTTGAAGCCATAATTTTTCTGTCCTGCCCAAGACTTTACGAAGCTCTAAGCCCTTCAACCTAACCCCCAAAGTGCCCTAAGCTCTTCAACGCCCGTAAAGCCTGAAGCATGTGCCCCAAAAACCCACACCCCGAAACCCTAAACCCTAAACCCTAAACCCTAAACCCTAAACCCTAAATCTGAAGCCGTACACATTCGACCCTAAACCTTCTGCCCTGTTCCATGGCACCCTAAACCCAACCAAACCCTAAACTCTAAACCCTGAGCCAGAAACCCTACCCCATAGCCTATAAGCCCTAAACCCTAAACCTCAAACCCATAGAAGCCCTGAACCCTAAGCTGCTATAAGCCCTAATCCTTAAACCCATAGAGGCCCTAAGCCCTAAACCCTAAACCGCTATAAGCCCTCAACCCTAAACCCTAAGCCAGGAGAAGTTCAAGATCTTGTCCAACGAGGTCGAAATTCTGCGCATGGAGAGCGCCTACAAGGATTTCGAGTTGCTGGTTTAATTTTAACGCTACGCCGCCCGCCTCGGCTGTGTAGCGGCAGGGCGAGGGGGCAGTCGATGTTCTTTTATGCTAGGGCGGCCTGTCAAACCCCAAGCTTTACACAGTTGTTGATACGAAGTGCCAGGAAAACGGGCACAGGGGGGAGTGGGGGGAGGGGGGGGGGGGAGGGGGGGGGAGGGGGGGAGGGGGGGGTGGGGAGACAAATCATGTAAAATGAGGGAAGGGAGGCCTGGGAGGGGGGGGGGGAGGCCGACAAATCAGGTAAAATGAGGGGAAGCCGGGCAAGGGGGTGGCAAACGAACGCAAAAACAGGGTGTCACCAAAGGGAGGAGGATTGGAGGGTGGTTGAGGTAACCACCAAAACGCCTGGGCCTCTGGCCTCGGCGGATTTCTGAGGTCTAGCTGTGTCGATTTATGGTTTAGAGTTTTAGAATTTGAGCATTTAGGGTTCAAGTTTGGGATTGTTGTGCAGACGTATATAGGGGATATGCACCCTATTGCATGATCCTAAACCAAAAACCCCCTGCACTCCAAACCCTAAGCCTGCACCCTAAATCCCAAGCCAATCCCAAGCCCTAGACCCGAAACCGTGCACGCCGGACCCGAAATGCTGCGCCCTAAGCCCTACACCCCGAAGCTCCCCAGTACAGCAGCCTGACTAGTTACCAATGCTATTTCTTGAAGCTGCGAAACTTGTTAGACAATTGACAATTGATCTGGAACGGACGGCACGCTGATATATCCTGGAATCTTAGTTTGGCAAGTCAGATACCTATGCTTCATGATCATGGTCGCGAAAAAAATTGACTGTCGTTTTCGTCGTTGTCACCGCAATCGTCAGTGTTGGGTGCGCAGCATCAGCATCTGCGTCATCATCAGCATCATGATGCACCGTCAGCATCATCCCTGCATCGTCCTCATCATCGCCATCAACGACAATAACCACGACACAAGCAGCATGATTTGTTCTTCTCTGCCATTATTGCTATACTGTTGCTTGTTTATTGCCGCTGGTATCATTCTTGTTCCTATCGTTCTTCTGACAAGAAAATGTGAGCTGTGATTACTATTGCTATTCACACTTCTATGTATCATCATTAGCTGATTAGCTTTACCGCTTTTGTACTTATCATGATAATCATAATCTTCTTCATCTTGATCATCATGGTCACCATCAAAGATTCCACCGGCATTTTATCATCATCAGAACAACAGTCAAGGACATATGCGCGGTAGGCTGCTGCTAGACAGAGCCGAGAGCGTCGGTGCAGGACAAGCAGCTTGCGCGAATTCGACAGGAGGACCACGGACTGGAGAGTTTCAGAAAATGCGGGGTTGAAATATGAAAATTCACCCTACAGTGCTCGGGGTTGAAATATGAAAATTCACCCTACAGTGCTCTACATCATAGTGTCGAGACAAGTAATTAAATTCTGACTGCAGAGACCCTTCAACGTCAATCCCGAGATCGCTCTAAACATTGAACCCTGAAGCCCCAGGCTCATAACGAAAGATAAGCTGCCAAGGAAGTCCTAAAACCCCAACTGTTGGGCCAAACTAGTTGGACTAGTTTTTTGGTGTATATTGTGGTAGTAGTATCTAGGTCCTATACAATACGCATAATACCACCATAACATACACCAAAACACTATTCTAATTCTAAGTGTTATACGGCTAATGTAGGGACCAACAGCAACACGCAGCACAAACACAAAACCCCTAATCCCCCAAACCCCTTAAACCCCTAAACCCTAAAGCCTTAAATCCCTAAACCCCTAAACCCCCTACACCCCTAACCCCCTAAACCCCCTAAATCCTCAATTTTCCGATTTCACCTCGCAGGAGCAGCGCCTCCAAGTCATCCACGCGATGGGCTCAAGATGGTGTTTGGGGGTTTGGGGTGGGTTTTGGGGGTTTTAGGGTTTATGTTTTAGGGTTTTTGGTGATTTTGGGTTTAGGTTTTTTGGGTTTAGGGTTTAGGGGCTTTGGGTTTTAGGGTTTAGGGGTTTTGGGGTTTAGGGTTTAGGTTTTTAGGGAGGGTTTGGGGGCTTTAGGGGTTCAGGTCATAGAGTCTATCGCTCAGGGTTTGGAGTTTCAGGGTTTTGCGTCTTGTTGGAGGGTTTGGGGACTCTTTAGCGCTGCAAAACTTGCTAAAGCCCAACCCGATATCCTAGAATCCTAACTAGACCCGAGACTTCGTGAGCACTAGAGACCCCAGGAACCCTAAACGCCATAAGCCCCTCAGAACCTAAGCCCAGATATTGGGGGTGATGGATTTTTCGCCTTATAAGGATTTTGGGGTGTAGGGTTTCCGATTTTGCGGCTTTTTTCGTGGCCCAGGACCAACTCCAGAACGAGAAGACGCGAATCACAGCGAAGGGTACGGCTCTCAACGAGCAGGCGCAGACCTGGCCGAGGGTTCTAGGGATTACGTAGAGACCCGTAAATAAGGAACTATTGGGGTTCTTTTATCATAATGAAAAAGGGTTTGGGGGAGTCTCAGCTACCCCCTAAATTCCGAGTACTAAGCACCACAAGGGCTTTGTTTGGGGGCGCTTGGGGGCGTCCTGGTAAGGGGTTCGGGTTCAGGGATTAGGGGTCGGCGTTTAGGCTTAGGGTTTAGAAGTTTAAGGGCTTAGGGTTCAAGGTTATGCCTTGCAGGTGGAGCAGTTTGTGATCGAGATTGACAAGCTGAACTCGATCATTAGCGCCATCGAGAAAGAGATGGTCCCGCTGACAAGTTTTCAGGGTGGCTGAACAGTGAACCCGAAGAAAGTTGGAACATGGATTTAGGATGATTAGCGCTAGGATTCCCCCATACGTTAGCTTAAGGGCATGAGAATAATGATGTTCCAACTTTCTGGCTTCTACTGTAAAGGGTCTGACAAGGGTTCTGTGTGAGGTGGTATAGTGGCTGATAGGGTTCATGATGTGTTTGCAAAGGGTTTCAAGCAGTCTTATGGGGCCCGTCGAGGGTTTTTAGCAAAACGTCTAGGGGCTCGGTCTGTCCCAATAGCTGGGTTTTCCCTGTATCGGGGATTTAGGTTGAACAACAGCGGTGTGACTTAACTGTCTGGTGCTTAGTTGGGAATGGGGGAATGGATCCCTACAGTCCTTATAGGATCCCCAACAATAGTCTACATAATCCATTCCCCCATTCCCTACTAAGGACCAGACAGTCTACTAAGAACCCGAAACCCCCATAGTATAACCCTTATAGTAAATAGTAACTATTAAAGGAACCCCATTCCCTACTAAGAACCAGACAGCTTAAGACGGAGGGGCTTCAGGGTTTACCCGTGGGGCGACGCTTCCGAGTAACGAGATGCCAGCCGAAAAGGCAATCAATCCTGAAGCCGGTTTTTCACTAGGACGCTCAGGGGGCGGGGGTAGGGGGCCTTAGTTATACCTAAAATAAAGACTTAACAAGGCTTTTTAAAGAAGTATGGTCCCCTGGTCCCAGTGAGTTTTGGGACTCGGGAAGCGTTCGCTGTATGCAGCACTACGCCGGCCTCCCGAACTTCGATGCGCACTGCGTCTCGTCGAGGATGAACGCTCGTGGCTGGGCCGCGCGGCATCTCACCGCAGAGGTGGAGGCCTGCTTGCAAAGAATGGGTCTCTGAGTTTGGAGACGCGCGCTGCTGCCGAATGGACGCTGTCTTGCGAAAGTTCGGCGGCGCGGCGTAGCAAAGTTAGCAATGCAAGGCTGATGTGCGACAAAAAAAAGCGTGGCAGCAGGAAAGCGAGTGCGTATCGGTGCGTTTTTCTTTGCCCATGCAGTAGCATTGCAGTCCATGTTGTAAACATAGTGTGATATACCCGCCAAGCCCTCTTCCAGTTAGTCACAAGGCCCCAAAATTTCGTTGTGATACATGCGAGAGGGCTTACTCGAACTTAAGCGAGTTATATTTCTGGGTTGCGCTCGAGAGTATGCGTTGATCTGGGGCGCGAAGACGGCTTCACAGCGCCAGGCAGTATATACAGGCATTGGAGGTATATACATCTATGGCTACCTGGTTCATCACCCTATCTGAATTCCACCAGCAACCACGGCCCCTAACCGTCGACCTTGAACCGAACTCCTCAAGACAGCCCTTGCCACAGTTAGATGTATGAAAGGGGCTACTGGTTGGCTGGTTGAACATGCGAAAATGGGAACAGTTGGAAACAGTAATGGAAAGTTGATGGTATGCTAGCGATTAGAAAAATGAACTGGACGTGGGGTTTGGGTCTGTGTGTGTGGGGGGTATATACACTCAAACAGGCGAGCTATCCTCTTACTGAGTTTCTGTTCCTTTCTCTGAGTTTAGAGTTGGGGCTAGGGTTTAGGGTTTTAGGGTTTAGGGTGTCTTGGGGTTTTAGGGTTTAGGGGTCTAGGGGTTTTAGTGTTTAGGGTCTTAGGGTATAGGGGCTCTTTATCCCAACCCCTTGCCCTTGGGCTAACCCCTCATCCGGGTTTCACGACTCCTTGGAGCCTTGGTGTACCACAGGGATCGGGATTAGAGTCCTTGTTTAGCTAGGCGTATTAGTATATGGTAGCATACGACAAGACATCCCAACACCCGCCTCTATAATGATATGAGTGGTTGTCAAAATTAGGATCCGTTTTTAGGTCCTTAGCATAATTATATTACGGCACCTATTATTTAGGGTACCCATAAAGGGGCCCTAATTTTGACAACCACCCATATGGGTCTTTGTGGGTATGAACATGTTGCGAATCCGCCGATTCCGCCGATCATTTCAGCTGCTCATTGGCTTCGTGCTCGACCGAAAGCACTTGGATGAAGAGAAACGGGTCAACAGGCTGAACATGGCCCCAAAACTAGCCACAACTTACACAGTATCGTCTTTGGGTCGAAAAGCTGTAAGCTACGAGTCCTTGCACTTCCAAGCTTGCTTCTAGAACCTATGGGAAACCCTACAAAGTCTCTAGCTCCCAGACTTCCACGGACACCGCAAAGCCAATCCCGAGAATCCCGATCCCCAGCCATCCACACCACAAAGCCCGCGAGCCCCAAACTTCTTACGCCTTAAGTCGATGGCCCCTATACCAAGAAACTACCCATAGGCCCCAAAGTAGTTCCTTTTTGGATTTACTTTATAGGATTCTATATACGAACCCCAAAAAGGAGCTACTTTGGGGCCTTAGGGTATACTCTGAATGGTGTGCGATGCCCGGAACATCGTGGGGCCTTACAGCCTATACTTGCATACCGGGAGCCTCACAGTAGGGTACACCAATGTCTTGCTTCAGCGGCTGTTTCGCTTTCGCGCGTTCTGCTGACCTTGGGCCCAACCCAACTTTGCGCCCCTGGGCTTTGCTAGGGGGTCTTTCAAGCTTCTGTTGGAGGTCTCTATGCGTCTTTTCCCGGGCTTCCGGGGTGGTAACGGTAGTTACAGTACGTTTAGGCTTGGATAAGGCGTAATCATTCTGTGGGCTTCTTGGAATCAGGGGTTCCTTCTTGACTTTCGAGGGAAGATCCCGCAACGTCGGATTTAGATCACTTGCTTCGAAGGCGAAATCCGATAGCTCTCGGCAAACCTTAGATATGGAAGCCTAAAAAAGCATGCGGTACAACACCCTCAGCCCCAAAGAGGACTATAGGAACCATTCCCAAGCCCAAAGGGTTTTGGTTTGGGCCCATAGCATCAGACGCTAGAGGCATCCTCACTGCCAACGACGTTTACAAGCCTGAGCGCTTTGGGGCTGCGACTTGCTGGCGGTTGGAAACCTTACAACCCCGTAAGCCCGAAACCCTAACCTGCCCGTAGTGCCTTAGTGCCTTAGAGCGGGACCGGAGCAGTGGGTGGGGAATCAGTCTTTTGCTTACTTCAGGGTTGTTGAACTTCGCAGTCAATTTCACGGTTTGAGTCGTGTTGTTACGGGGTTCCGGCTTATTGCTGAGAGCGGCGTCCCAAGATCACAGTTCCGAAATCGTCAATCCCGAGTGCTGGCCCATTGGAGAGGCGTGCATAATCATGTTGTACGATTCACTTGTACTCCCTGTAAAGTACACTAGACCCCTTTTGTGATGATCGAGGCTCCTCAGCAACTATAGGGTTGTGATGTCTTTTGGATTCCAGAAGTGAAGGCTATGAACCCTAGACTCTTAGACGGAGCTTCAACCCTGAAAGTTTCCCTGGTCCCAAATGACCAGCTCGGACAGTTAGAGTTTATATATCATCATAATGTCACCAGCTATCCGGAAGCTTCATAGTAATGCAGACTTCAAGCCTCGCTGCCTTAGAGGGATTGATCTACTCGGATTCCTGATACTAATATCAAGGCTTGTAAAGCACAGGTCATGAAAGCTTGCAGGCCTTTTGCTTCCCACGCCCTAGGTCCAGGCCTCCCCGAGAACGCAGAACGCAAAGCCGCAAACCAACAACCCTCGAGCCCGAACCCGAGGCCATGAACAACAGCCCCTGGGTTTTGGTTTAGGGTTTGGGGTTTAGGGTTTTAGGGTTTAGGGTTCAGGGTTTAGGGGCTGCTTATCGTGAGCCCCCGTATAACGCTTTATACTCGTAGGCTAGAGAAGCTTTGAAGTTTAAAAACAAGTTATGATAATCTACATAGCCATAGGAATAGAAAGCCCTTATAACAAAGAACCAGAGAAGTTTGGAGCTAAAGGTCAAGACTCTCTCGGAGAGCCTAAGCGGCTTGAGTGCGACGAAGCTTGTGCCTTCGGAAGCAATGAGACCCAGGGCCCCACGTCGGATAAGCCTCCATGTGCCAATACAGTCTATACTTAGGCCTTCAAGTACCTATATAGGGGCTACATTAAGGCCTGCGTATAGATTATGTAGGGACATGGAGCCTTAGGATTAGGGCTCAGGTTCAAGTTGTTCATACTCCCATCCGAACCAAGCTGTTGTTGACTGCCTCACTGCATATGGTTTGCAGATTTTTCACTACATTTCTTTGGTTCTTCGGGAGCTCATGGTTTTTCTCATTGGATTGGAAAATACTGCGAACCCGTGGGCCAGGAAGTGGACGGTAGGCTGCCGGACTTATGTTGCCACTGGGTCATTTTTTCTGCTCTAGAACGTATGGCTTCGGAGTCACACGTCCGCTGGGTCTGCAGCCAGCATGGCCGCAGTGTCCGACCTCGCTCGCAACAGCTAATGAGTGATCTTCGCACAGGGAGACGAGAAGCCGATCCCCTGTAGCAGTACCAAAACGACAAAGATGTGGCTGTGGCAGGTGTCAAAGAGAAGGGTTGGCCTCGAAGGTTCGATTGAACATTTTAGTGGACTCGCAAGGGCGGAGAAGCGTAGGCGGCCAGGGAACTGTTGAAGTTAGGGGCACAATCCCAAAACTCCACACCAACCCTAAACCCTAAACCCCCCTCATCCCTGAAATCTACCGCGTTTAAAAGCCATCAAACCCTACCTGT